AGCAATTTAAGTGATTACAAATTTTACCAAATAATATATGCATTACATTTTATGAATCATGTAGGCCTCATTAATGGCAGCCAAGTTTTTATATATTAATAAGACCTTCAAAATGTGGTATACGAAAAATGCTTTTAAAAAAATTAAATATAAAAATATCAACAAAGGCCAACTTCTTGAGTTGTTGGAGTTGTTTGGTCAGAAACCATTTTTAAAGTACAAAGTCAATATGACACTGACAACCCCTTGGACCCTAAAAAACAAAAAGGGGTCATCTACTGGCCAAGACCAATGCACCTTCAAATATTGAGGGCCAGCAGCTATGGGCTTGTCAAGTTATTGATCGAAACCCGTTTTCAACTACAAGGTTAATGGAACTTGACCTTTTGACTCCTTGACCCAAAATCATAAGGGTCATCTTATTGTCAAGTCTTATGGCACCTACGAAGTTTGGGGGGCCAACAAATCATGGATGTCAAGTTAATGATTGTTAGCCCGTTTTTTACCAACAAGATAAATATGACCTTGAACTTTGACCCCTTAACCCCAAAATCAATAGGGGTCCTTTTCCTGGTTATGAGCAAATCATATTACTAAGTTTGAAGTTCGCAGTCCTCAAACGTTCTTTTATTTATTGATCGGAAACTGTTTTTTTTATCCCCTTAGGTCAATGTGACCTAAGACCTTTGACCTTCAAAATTAATAGGGGTCATCTGCTGGTCAATGAACAATCATTTTTTTTCCCCATATACCCGTGATTAAAGTTTCATGGCCTAAGAGTTCTCTAGTTATTGATCGGAAACCGATTTTACCTACAAGGTCAATGTGACCTTCATCTTTGACCCCTTAACCCCTAAAATCCAATAGGGGCATCTGCTTGTAATGATCAATCATCATCCCAAGTTTTAAAGTTCCTAGGTGTTAGCGTTCATTAGTTATTGATCGGACACGGTTTTTAATAACAAGGCAATGTGACCTTGACCTTTGACCTCTTGACCCCAAAATCAATAGGGGTCATCTACTTGTCATGACCAATCATCATTACGAAGTTTGAAGTTCCTAGGTCTAAGCGTTATTTAGTTATTTACACGTAATCTGAAACGTTTTTACTTACAAGGTCAACGTGACCTTTGACCTCTTGACCCCAAAATCAATAGGGGTCATCTGACCAATCATTTTTCCAAGATGAAATTCCTAGGCCAATGTTTTTTTAGTTATTTATCGGAAACCATTTTTAAGTACAAAGTCAATATGACACTGACGACCCCTTGACCCCAAAATCAAAGGGGTCATCTACTGGCCAAGACCAATGCACCTTCAAAGTTTGAGGGCCAGCAGCTATGGGCTTGTAAAGTTATTGATCGAAACCCGTTTCAACTACAAGGTTAATATGAACTTGACCTTTGACTCCTTGACCCCAAAATCAATAAGGGTCCATCTTATTGTCAAGTCTTATGCACCTACGAAGTTTGGGGGCCAACAAATCATGGGTGATGTCAAGTTAATGATTGTTAGCCGTTTTTACCAACAAGATAAATATGACCTTGAACTTTGAACCCTTAACCCCAAAATCAATAGGGGTCCTTTTCCTGGTCCATGAGCAATCATATTACCAAAGTTTGAAGTTCGTAGTCCTCAACGTTCTTCATTTATTGATCGGAAACTGTTTATTTTATCCCTTAGGTCAATGTGACCTAGACCTTTGACCTCAAAATCAATAGGGGGTCATCTGCTGGTCATGAACAATCATTATACCGTGATTTAAAGTTCCTAGGCCTAAGAGTTCTCTAGTTATTGATCGGAAAACCGTTTTTACCTACAAGGTCAATGTGACCTTCATCTTTGACCCCTTAACCCCAAAAATCAATACGGGGGAATCTGCTTGTAATGATCTATCATCATACCAAGTTTAAAGTTCCTAGGTGTTAGCGTTCATTAGTTATTGATCGGACACGGGTTTTTAATAAACAAGGCAATGTGACCTTGACCTTTGACCTCTTGCCCCAAAATCAATAGGGGCATCTACTTATCATGACCAATCATCATACGAAGTTTGAAGTTCCTAGTTTCTAAGCGTTATTTAGTTATTACACGTAATTGGAAACCGTTTTTACTTACAAAGGTCAACGTGACCTTTACCTTTGACCTCTTGACCCCAAAATCAATTAGGGGTCATCTGACCAATCATTTTTCCAAGATGAAATTCCTAGGCCAATGTTTTTTTTAAGTTATTTATCGGAAACCATTTTTACTAACAAGGTCAATGTGACCTTGACCTTTGACCCAAAAATCAATAGGGGTCATCGGTTTGTCATGACCAATCATCATACGAAGTTTGAAGTTCCCTAGGCCTAAGCGTTCTTTAGTAATCACTTGGAAACCAATTGCTCTACGGACCGACGGACAGACCGACAGACAAATGCAAAGCAATATACCTCCTCTTCTTTGAAGTAGGGGCATAATAATAATACCTGTAACAAGTTGGTCAAAATTCTTTGATTTTCCTTATGTACACATCTTTTGAAACTTAGCTTTACCTCAGCTATAGCAACCAGTATAGTTTTTACATTTGCACTATTTCAGATGCTTATTTATCAGTTCAAGATTTAGATTTTATAATTGCTTTTTTTATAGTTTACAATATTACTTGTTCCTTGTCATGGAGCGTTTTTATATTCAGGCGAGCGATTTCAGGGTCATCATGGCCCTCTTGTTTCTGTAATTTGTAACTGGCTAAACTTTTTTTAATTTATAAATGGATGAACTTCGTATAAAAACACATCTTTTAGGTTAGCACCTTCGTGTATTTCAATCTCAAACTTAACCTTGACTAATGTGTTACCATGACCTTTAAGGTCAAATTATTTCATTTTCACCGTTTATCGCCACTATTGGCTGTAACTTTGTAATTAATAGATGGATTGTTTTCATACTCGGATAAAACAATCTTTTGGACAAGACATTCTAAAAGGTTGAACTGACCTTGACCTTGAGCTTAGAATGACATTGAATGTCAAGATCAAATAATTAAATTTCGATTAATTTTCCATAATAGTTAATTATGTTACGGTTTTGTTTCTTATACGGACAAAACAATACTTGTGACCAAACATTTACATGCAAAAAAATAAGATATGACCTTGATATTTATATTGCATTGACCTTCAAATGATTGAATTTTGATTATATTTTCTTAAGTTTGTCATCTATTTATGGAATGGATTCATGCTTGGACAAAACAACAAGTGTGACTAGGCAAGACCTAGTAAAATTAAAAAAAGACAATTTTTTTCTTTTTACTTTTCTTGTAAGAATTGTTAATTTGTTTGCTTTTTGAAATTGCAAAAAGTCTAGCGTTGCCCCTACCGGTGGTGGCTTTTTTTTAAGTAAAGGTAATCTTTAAGTACTCGTAATAGGCAGATCCAACGGATTAAATGTTGACTTACTGATCCTGTAACATAATTTTTTATGGTTTTAAATCATCAATATGATTGATCAATATTGTAGGCTCCCAAAAAGCATTATTTATAAAGATATTACCGAATTTTACATTTCATGTAAATAAAGGCAGGTAATCAGAAATTTATTTTCAATAAAGTTTACGTCAAATTTTACAATAATAAATGAATGCATATATTGAAATGATGACATATAATGTGCATAAATATTTGCAGTACATATTTTACATATTTCTAAGATGTTTGAAAAATTGTTTTATTTGCATAATTATGTACATACATATAATTTCACTTAGTGTGGTTAACCACTTTTATCAGTTTATTAATAAATCAATACTAGTATTCCTCTATCTTTTAATGATATGTTTAGTTTTACTCAGATTCATGACTTAACAAAAAACAAATTTACATTGTACATATTGTGTAAATTTATTGATCTACGCTAATTGAACAAAATAGATCTAGAATTATAAGTTAATGCTTATAAGAAATTTGAAATATTAAAGGAGTTTGATAAATGGAAATATCTCTTTTCAAATAGAATTTATTTTCAGTGTGCTGTCAAAGATGCAAAGATAGATGGACACAAGTATTTTATTATAAATTATATACATGTATTGTAAGCGCTTTTCGTACTCTTGTACTTTAGTCATAAATTCATGAAATAACCCACCTGTCTGTGTCGTCTTTTGCGACCTCTTCAAGGTCTTCCTGTACTTTTATTATATCTATTCCCTTTACGTCATCAAGGTCATTCTTTACTTCAGTAATATTTCCTTTTACGACATCCATGTCACTCTTTACTTCAGCAACATTTTCTTTAACGTCATCAAGGTGACCCTTTACTTCAGCAACATTTTCTTTCACGTCATCCATGTCACTCTTTACTTCAAAAACATTTTCTTTCACGCCATGAATGTGACCCGTTACTTCAGCAACATTTTCTTTCACGTCATGAAGGTGACCCTTTACTTTAGCAACATTTTCTTTCACATCATCAAGGTTAGCCGTTCTTACTTCAGCAACATTTTCTTTCACGTCATCAAGGTTACCCGTTACTTCAGCAACAAATGCTTTCACATCATCGAGGTGACCCTTTCCTTCAGCAAACATTTTCTTTCACGTCATCAAGGTCACTCTTTTACTTCAGCAAACATTTTCTTTTCACTTCATCAAGGTGACCCTTTAGTTCAGCAACATTTTCTTGCACGTCGTCAAGGTGACCCTTTACTTCAGCAACATTTTCTTTCACGTCATCAAGGTCACTTTTTACTTCATCAACATTTTCTTCCACTATATCAAGGTCACTTTTTACTTCAGCAACATTTTCTTTCACGTCATCAAGGTCACTCTTAATTTCAGTAACATTATCTTTTACGTCATCAAGGTCGCTCTTTACTTCAGTTTACATTTTCTTTCACATCATCAAGGTCACTCTTAATTTCAGTAACATTTTCTTTCATATTCACCAAGGTCACTTTTTACTTCATTAACATTTTCTTTTACGTCTCCCATTTCCTGTTTTAGTCGATCAACATCTGCTTCATAGTCCTTGCATTTTCTTTATTTCTTCATTTATCCTTCTTTCTTCCTCTGGATCAAGAGAACACGACTTGAAATCGGCAAGTGTTTTGATGCATATTGAGAGCGGGAGTGTTTTGTCGAATAAGTATCTAAAAACCGAATGTTGATAGGAATTGTGAATTTAGCATTTGTTTTTATACCAGTTTTCAATTTTATTTTCAAGTTATTGCTTTTTGTTTATTTGTATTATATTACTGCTTTATCGGTCACTATTTGAAGATATTCATATGAAGAGAGCACTTATTTTTATGATTATATAAATTTGATGAAGAAAATAAAGAAAAAAAAACATATTCATAAATACAACCTTGACACAAACTAATTTTAATGTCTTTATTATTCATGACAATATTTTTTATACAAATCTATAAGAATATTTTTAGAAAATACTCATATGATGTAAAAAACTTAAGTTGATACAAAGTTATCCCTGAAAACAAGTATATATACCATAAACAGTAAAAACATTTTTTTTTTGTTCAAAGGAATAAAGTAAATTTAAATAAAACTCTGTAGAATTTTCAAACGAATGCATCGGAATGTATTAAAGAGAAGGAAACAACGTTTTAACCCTCTACGCTTACCTGCTCGATTTCATTCCACAAAGTTGTAAACTCATTTTGTTCTATTCCAGTTGTTGTTGACATATGACAGATCTGCAATAAATACTCAATTTTTAGTAATGCAGAAAAAAGCCCCGTAGGTATAAATAGACTGGAACATGTTTCTGTCGAAGTTTAGGTGAAAAGGGATTGTGCAAACTTCTTTAAGTTGTAGGTGTAAGGGTATACAAGTTATTGTTGACACAAAACATATGATAAAATAAAAAGAATTATATTTGCTAAAAAATATATTTAATATACTTAAAGTACAATGAAGTTTAAATAAATAAGATCAATCAACTTATAACGTTTCAGGTCACTAACATTTAAGTATTATTTCAGATCATCATTGTATGCAATCCACAAATATCGCGAAGTAATTGATAATTTATTTTACGTCCTTTTCTTAATAACATGTACTTACATGCTGTCAAATATGTTAATACAGAACTAAGATATCCGTTTTACTTTTCGTTAGTTTAAGCATTTAAAATATAATTGTTGTATAAGAGGTGTTCATCTGGTTGCTTCTTTTGCATGTTTACACAAAAGATTTCATACAAATATATCAACAACTTTTGTCATATCATACTTACTTTATTCCGGAAATTTCTCAAACGACATATATCTGCCTCAACTGTTAAATCGGTTTCTGCAGGTGTCGCATTCCATTTAAATTTCTTATTCAAACCGAAACATTTAAGGTTTGCAAGAAGGCAACTGATAAGCGTGATGTCCATATCTGCTGTAGTTGGCTCTTGACCGCCCATTGGGAACAATAGGTCATATTGATCCTGTGTGATAACGTTGTTGCCATGCAATCGTGTAATTTTTGACCTTTCATTATTAAGACATGTCTTTAAAGTTATGCCTTTGGCAGCTATTGTCTGATCAAGTATACTTCTCAATACAAGCAGGCCTCCATCTATTATAAGAATTTGCAAACGGAATAGATGTATCCGATTTTCTGGATCTCCAGATGCCATTTTAGTCTTCTTGATTTCTCACATATTTACCATAGCCACATCTATTAATAAATAAACAAAACAAATATTTTAGGTTATTTGAAAATCGGTTTATCAGTATTATAAAAATAAGGCTTTGGAAGCCTTGGACAGTGTTAATATTATTGTTCTGCTTTTCCGATCTTTTAGATCTGTCGGGAGTTTAATAGAAATATCAAATAATTTAGATTAAAAAAATAGTGGATATTTGAATGATGTTCCTAAATAATTGGTATGTTTAGATATACTACACCTCTATCAAAGGTTGTTTTGCCTTTGACTTCAGGAATTCCTTGAATCTTTTATGGCTTAGTCCATGTTCGATATATTTGATACAATCATAGAATATCAGAAAAAAATCAACTAGAACTATCGCTGAATGTGATTCATACCCCACCAATGTCCTTGACAGAAGACAACTTGGAAATGTGGTTAAATATGGGAATAACTTTAGTGGCACAAATACATATACATAACAAGGAACATCGCAATGCGATGCAACCAGGTTTTCAGCAAAATATTTCACAGAAGCTTTGTCATGAAGGGGCATTTGTTTTTAATTGAACTTTTAGGAGGAATTATGGCTTTTTTAATATTCCTCAAACAAAAATGATTGAGAAATTTTATGTTGTCTATTCGCCTTTTTTTCCCAAATATTTTAGAAAGGTAAACAGTACTTTATTTTTGCTTAATTTTTGCATTTTATGCGTCTCTTGTCATTTTCTTTTGTCAACAATATTGGCGTGTGGTGTTTTGTGCGATATCAAGAAAAGTATGTTCACAATTTTAAAAAAAATACTTGAATGATGTCTTGGGAGAAACAATTAGGAATTTAGTGAGCGCCAGGGCACTTTGATGACAAAGCTTCTGTGAAAGTTTGGTCAAAATCCATTGAGAAATGTAGGAGAAGTTGCGCACTGTAGAAATTGTTCACTATATATTCTGTATAAGGAAAAAATATATACAAAGGGCCATAATTCGGTCAAATATTATCCAATCACAAAACCCCAACAATATGTGCCAGGCACTTGATAACAAAGCTTCTAAGAAAGTTTGGTCAAAATCCGTTGAGAAATGTAGGAGGAGTTTGAGCACAGAAGAAATTGTTCTCTATATATTCTGTATAAGGAAAAAAATATACAAAGGGCCATAATTCGGTCAAATATTATTCCAATCACAAAACCCCGACAATATGTGCCAGGCACTTGATAACAAAAAGCTTCTAAGAAAGTTTGGTCAAAATCCGTTGAGAAATGTAGGAGGAGGTTGCGCACAGAAGAAATTGTTCACTATATATTCTGTATAAGGAAAAAAAAACAAAGGGCCATAATTAGGTCAAATATATAACCAATTGCAAAACCCTGGCAATATGTGACAGGGCACTTGATGACAAAGCTTCTGAGAAAGTTTGGTCAAAATCCGTTGAGAAATGTAGGAGGAGTTGCGCACAGAAGAAATTGTTCACTATATATTTTATATAAGGAAAAAAAACAAAGGGCCATAATTAGGTCAAGGCACTTGATAACAAAGCTTCTAAGAAAGTTTGGTCAAAATCCGTTGAGAAATGTAGGAGGAGTTGCGCACAGAAGAAATTGTTCACTATATATTCTATGTAAGGAAAAAAAAAACAAAGGGCCATAATTAGGTCAAATATATATACCAATTGCAAAACCCTGGCAATATGTGACAGGGCACTTGATGACAAAGCTTCTGAGAAAGTTTGGGTCAAAATCCGTTGAGAAATGTAGGAGGAGTTGCGCACAGAAGAAATTGTTCACTATATATTTTATATAAGGAAAAAAAAACAAAGGGCCATAATTAGGTCAAATATTATCTAATCGCAAAACCCCGACAATATGCGCCAGGGCACTTGATGACAAAGCTTCTGTGAAAGTTTGGTCAAAATCCGTTCAGAAATGTAGGAGGAGTTGCGCACAGAAGAAATTGTTTACGCCCGCCCGCCCGTCGCGCCCGCCCGCCCGTCCGCCCGCCCGCCCGACCGCCCGCCCGCCGACATACCTCAATCTAATAACCAGTTTTTTCCTTCGGAAAACCTGGTTAAAAAGGAATTATCATTCAATTTGGTGAAAAAAGACTAATTGTACTGGTAATAGTATAAATATATATTGTCAAATCATGTTTGTAACAGTTAAAAATAACGTTTCATTTTTCAAATGTACTGAACACTTTCTAAGTCAATTTTTGGCCTTCAAGTGTGGCCTTGACCTTAAACTGGCAAAAGAGTAAGATGAGTGCTGCACATGGCCTAGTTTGGGTGAACATTTGAGTAAAGTTAGTAAATAATTTATAGAGCGGACATGACATATTGTCTGGTATTGATTGTATGTAAATTCAAAGACTTCAAAAGGGGCATAACTTTGTCAAAATCCAATACAGATTTATGAAACCTGACCTGCATATCTTATTTGTGATACCTCATATATCTTTCAAATTTCAAGCAAATACCTGTGCTAGTTTCAGAAATATTGAAGTACATGTTTAAATTTAAGAACATTTTCTAAGTCACTTTTTGACCTTCAAGTGTAACCTTGACCTTTAGCCGGCACAAAGTTAACATGGATTCTGCACCTAACTTTGTTGAGGTGAACATTTTAGTAAAGTTTGAAATAACTCTTCCATTAGTATGGAATTTATAGAGCGAACACGACATATTGTCTAATATTTGATTGTATGTAAATTTGAAGAGACTTTAAAAGGGACATAACTTTGTTAAAATGCAATACAGAGTTATGAAACTTAACCAGCATATCTTAATATTGACACTTCATATATATTTGAGTTTAAAGCAAATACCTTTTCTAGTTTCAGAAATATTCAAATACATGTTAAAATTTAAGGATATATTTTACCTTCAAGTGTGACCTTGACCTTAAGCCGGTAAAAGGGTAACATGGGTTCTGCACATGGCCTTGTTGAGGTGAACATTTGAGTCAAGATTGAAGAAAATGTAGGACTTACAGAGCAGACACGACAAACGGTCTATTATTTGATTGTTTTATATTTGACCTTGAATTGTGACCTTGGCCTTGACTCTTTGGCAATATGGGTTCTGCACATCCCCTTGTTGAGGTGAACATTTGCGCCAAGTTTGAAGAAAATCTTTCAATTAGTATAGGACTTACAGAGCGGACACGGAATACTGTCTAATATTTGATTGTTTGATATTTTACCTTCAATTGTGACATTGACTTTGAGCTGACACATTGGCAACATGGGTTCTGCACATCCCCTTGTTGAGGTAAACATTTGAGCCCAGTTTAAGAAAATCTTTAAATTAGTGTAGGACTTACAGAGCGGACATGACATACTGTCTAATATTTGATTGTTTGATACTTAACCTTCAATTGTGACCTTGACCTTGAGCTGACACATGGGCAACATGGGTTCTGCACATCCCTTTTCTTGAGGTGAACATTTGAGCCAAGTTTAAAGAAAATCCTTCAATTGGTATAGGATTTATAGAGTGGACACGAACATGGAGACGGACGGACCGACCGACCGACATGACAAAGAGAATCCATTATAGCCCCCCCCCCCCATTTTGTGGTGGGTAAATTAACTGTGAGATTAGATAAGTGTGTGTTCATGATACTTCAAATATATTTTAATAATGATTAGGTTGAAATATAAACGACCGATATACTGATTTAAAGTTAACATAGAAATATTTTAAGATCTATATATTATTAAAATTAAAGAAGTTCTACTGGTTTCCTAGCAGTTTCCGGCCCCCAGCAGTTATCCGGCCCTTTTAAAATTTTGCCCAGTACGGTCTATTTTTACCAGTAGGGCATCTATGTTACTTCATTAAATCAGAGAGACATTTGTTTTCTATGCAACACAGCAGTTAAAATAATAAAGCGATTTGTATGTTTTGAAGTTTTGTCTGTTGTTTAAAGTTACAGTAAAGAACATGCGACATTAAAAAATAAACACCACCTGGGGAATTCTAGTTTAAATGGCCATGTGTATAACTGACACTCAATTTCAGGTAAATCAATACTTTTGAACAATATATTTGCAGACGACGAAGTTCTATTTCTTTGATCGATCATCTTAAAGATCATGTATATTTTGTGATTAATACTGTTACTGTGTATACCTTTTTAGCTCACCTGTCACAAAGTGACAGGGTGAGCTTTTGTGATCGCCTTTCGTCCGGCGTCCGTCCGTCCGTCCGTCGTCCGTCCGTCGTCCGTCCGTTAACTTTTACTTTATATGACATCTCCTCATAAACCACTAAGCCAATTTCATCCAAACTTCACAGGAATGTTCCTTTGGTGGTCACTTTTAAAAATTATTCAAAGAATTTTATTCCATGCAGAACTCTGGTTGCCATGGCAACCGAAAGAAAAAACTTTAGATATCTTCTTTTAAAAACCATAAGAGCTAGAGCTAAGATATTTGGCATGAAACATCTTCTAGTGAGTGTCTACCAAGTTTGTTCAAATAAAAGCCCTGGGGTCAAAATTGGCCCCGCCCCGGGGGGTCATTGATTTTCCCTTTATGCATATAGTAAAAACTTAAAAAATCTTCTTTTAAAGAACCCAAAGAGCTAGAGCTAAGATATTTAGCATGAAACATGTTCTAATGGGTGTCTACAAAGTTTGTTCAAATAAAAGCCCTGGGGTCAAAATTGGCCCCGCCCCGGGGGGGTCATTGATTTTCCCTATGTGCATATAGTAAAAACTTAAAAAATCTTCTTTTAAAGAACCAAAAGAATTAGAGCTAAGATATTTAGCATGAAACATGTTCTAATAAGTGTCTACCAAGTTTGTTCAAATAAAAGCCCTGGGGTCAAAATTGGCCCCGCCCCGGGGGTCATTGATTTTCCCTATATGCATATAGTAAAAACTTGAAAAATCTTCTTTCAAAAAACCCAAATAGCTAGAGTTAAGATATTAAGCATGAAACATCTTTTTGTGAGTGTCTACAAAGTTTGTTCAAATAAAAGACCTGGGGTCAAAATTGGCCCCGCCCTGGGGGTCATTGATTTTCTTTATATGTGTATAGCAAAAACTTAAAATCTTCTTTGAAAAAAACCCAAATAGCTAGAGTTTAGATATTAAGCATGAAATATCTTCTAGTAAGTGTCTACAACGTTTGTTCAAATAAAAGCCCTGGGGTCAAAACTTGCCCGGCCCCAGGGGTGTCATTGTTTTTAAATATATGTGTATAGTAAAAACTTTAAAAAAAATATCTTCTTTTTTAAATGCACAATGAGCTAGAGCTTAGATGTTTAGCATGAAGCATTCTCTTATGGGTGTCTACCAAGTTTGTGCAAATAAAAGCCCTTTTGTTAAATTGGCAATGCAATGTTGGGGGGTTGGGGGGGCCTATATACAGGTGAGCGACCTCAGGGCCATCATGGCCCTCTTGTTTTTCTTTTTTTGTGCGTTTATTTAAGGTCGCCGCCGGAAAGCCCATATGGACGACCGTACAGTCAAGTCGGGTCATCCTAGAGCGTCCCGCCGAGATTTTCCGTCGATTTTTTCCAGCTTTATTGGTGGAGGAAGACCCCAGGTGCCCCTCCGGGCATTATTTCAGGCACGAGCGGGCACCTTGGTAGAACCACCGACCTTCCGTAAGCCAGCTGGATGGCTTCCTCACATGAAAGATTTCGACCCGAGTGAGGATCGAACCCACAGTGGTGAGGGACCTGTGATCTTAAGTCAGCGACTTTAGCCACTCGGCCACGGAGGCCCCTCTGTGTATACCACACTTGCAAACATATTATATTTGTACATAATTATGCAAATAAAACAGTTTTCAAACATCAAAGAATATGTCAAATGTGTACTGCAAAAATTCGTCACATTATATTTAATCAATAAATTATATGCATTTATTTCTTATTGGAAAATTTGACTTAGAATTTATAGAAATTAAATTTCTAATTACCACCCTTTCTTTACAAGAAATGTTAAATTCGGTAATATCTTTGTAAATAATGCTTATTGGAGCTTACAGTGTTTACAAATCTTAATTTGAGCATCATATTTATGAAGTAAAACCATGAAAAATTGTGTTACAGGATCTTTAACATTACTTACTGGTACTGAATTATATTCAAAATAAAAAAGGTCCTTAAAACTGCCATGAGATTTTGAATAAACGTGAGAAAGGCTGTTACATTCAGGCCTATATTCAATTAAAAAGTAAAGTAAAAGAGCAACATTGAAAAATGGTTATACAAGACAGCAACCCTACATCTTACTTTGATATGTCAAAGTTCTGTACTCGCCCGTAGACAGATTTTTATTTTATTTTTTGAAAAAGTGCGATTAGGGGCGGACATTGCAAGGAAACCAATATGTTTAAATTTGATATTTGAAGAAATTGAAAATTGATGCACAAGCTTTTTGTAAATAAAAACATGTTTAGACTTCACACAAAGTAGATATGGTTTGCTTTATATCCTGTATACACTATAGCTGGTCACACTATTTATATGTAGTGTCATTTACAAAATGTCAGTTTTGTTTTAAAGAACCAGCTTTAATAAACTCGTAAGAATGATAGTATGAATGCAGATTCCCATAAATATTTCATAGCGTCTTTGATTGAAATATTTATTAAGAACTTAATAGAATTCAATATTAAGTTTCTGCAGTAAAAATATTTTCCTCAAAGATAAATACAGAATAGCACACTACTAATGAGGGATCTATGCCTAATCAGGAAAAGGAAAATCGAAGTTTATATTTTGTTATTACACAATTTAGCTAAGGTTTATGTTCGTGACTTAAATTAAAAAGCTGATAAGATATAATTAACATAATTGATAAAGACAATTTTTGACATCCATGACAGACATTCCATTGGGCTCTGTCTCGGCTTTTCTGAAAGCAATGTTATTTTGGTAAATTCCCGATATCCCGGCTATTTCTTTATCGGTATCCTTCATTCTTTATCTTTCTCCAGAAAGAA